TTTTTTTTTTTTTTTTTTTTTGCAATAACTAACTTTTATTGTATAAGAAGTAATAAAGATAAAAGAAGCTTTAATTATGGACTGTACACATTAAAATAAAATAACAGTAATTTTATACATCATGTCATAATTTGAATCTTGGTAATGATCTTGTTACATATGATTGCCAATGACTATCTGGGTCATGAGGACCATCTCATTATGATCTTGAGATAGCATATAGAAGTACAGTTCTACAGATGATGATGATGATATTTTTTTTTTTTTCTTTTTCAAACTAAGTCTATAAATTGTTTATAGTATTAGGCAGAATTATATATGAATATTGATTTTTCTTTTTTTTTCTATTTGTATTTGAAATAATTTCTTTATCAAAACTAGAAACAATGTTATACCTTGTTAATTAATACTTATTGTCCTTTTTTGATTATTATTTATTGTTATTAGTTTACTATGACTACAGTATATTAATAGGACTTGATCGCATTGATGATATAACTTCTGATTGCAAAAATGAGATATATTATTAATCTCCTGATTCAAAAACATTCAAAAAATGGAGAAGTTAATTAAACTGTTAAATTAGCAATATATGTTTAAGATTAGAATTAAAACAAGATAAAATAAAAAATAAAATGTGATAAGAGTAAATATACACATTAAAATGACAGGTGTGAAAATAAACATCTAAGTTTGAATTTAACAATTTAATAATGTTCATGGCTAGGCCTTTCTGAATTGGATCAAATGTTATATTCTATAGCATGAGGGAAAGATTTTTTGCAAAGAAACTAGTCAGCAATGGCAGATTCAGAAGTAATCAAAGGAAAGCTAACTCAAAAATGAAAAATATTTGAATAATTAATAAATAGTTTTTATTAACATATTCATGATGATTGCATTGTGGACAGTCTGATAAACTATAGTTGACATCATAAACGTTTTGAAGTTCAAACAAATAAATTTTAAGTTTTTTTTGTGTCAGTGGGGATGGCTTAATTTCCTTACTTCCATCACTGATAATCAGTCTGTTATTTGGGATAATTCTCAGGTTGTTTGTAGGTCATTGAATTTGAGCCATATCCACAGGTTGAGGGAATTGTTTTCTTTTCTCTTATTTATAATATTTAAAGTAGGGTCAGTTGCTGTGGAGATCACTAACTCTTCAGCAATTCTATCTTGTGTCAAGTATCATGATAATTGATTAAATCACTCCCTATCAAACTGCCACTGAAAAAATTAAGTGACACCAATTTCATCATTAGCACACGCTGCTNAAAAAAAAAACAGGTAAGTGTAAGCAACAATATACCTCATTATTAATTTTATGTGAGGTATTTTTTGTTTAATTTTAATTTAATGACCATTTGTCCAACAAGTGTTGAATCAGAAAGAATATTCTCGGGATCTAAATTATTTTGTACAAAAATTAGATCAAAATCAGGAGATAAGACTATAAATAATTTAAGTTTCTTGAGAAGTTAATTTTAAAAAATGATAATCAATAAAATGGTATTAGGTACTTTATAGTATTTCTGTTGTATTTTTATTTTTCTGTATTATTTTATTTCTGTTTATTTCTATATTTATTATTATAGTTTGTTTAGAATAACACTTTAATTTTTATATTTTTTATATTTGATATCTTTGAAATAAAAAATGTGAAATGGAAATCATAGACTTATATTTTTTATCACCTTAATTTTATTTTTCAAGAAAAAAATTTACCAGTAAACCGGTATTTTAATTTTAATTTACCGAATTACTGGTAAATGAAAAAGTCGGTAAATTTACAATCCCTAATGGTGTGCATAATAAATTTGAAATTGCAATCCTTATTGGACTTCAAATCTATCTAACATCTTGAGTTTAATTCCAAACTAAAGGTTTTACTCAATGCCTTTTTTTTAAGAGAACTTTGCTTCATTTGGCATAATTTGCATAAATTTAGATACAATGTTACAACTTGATATGTAATATTTTTGTATTTGCAATTGCTTAAGCATCTGTGTTCTTTCTCAAACAAGTCATTCTAATATAGGTTTTGGAAAACACAGGGATCATCAGAAACATATAACAGTTTTTAAAATAAAATAACATTTTATAGGAATATGTAAACATTTATTTCTTAGCAAAGATACATACCTCTTTTATAGAAGAATTAGAACAAAACACTACTAGAAAATCATATAAGTGTCCACCCTTACAATTAATTTGCTCATTTAGTCTTGCTGGAAATGACAACACAACTCATTGCAACATGTGTTTCAAAATTTCCTGAATTTGCTTGTAAATTTTGTAAGAATGGTAATCAGATCTTTGTGCAAAATTCTGCAAATGCTACTCTCTGACAAACTGAGAGTAAGCACTAGTTTCAGAGAAGATTTGCACAGACTGCAGAAAATGGCATCTCTTACATGATTCACATTTTCTGGTGTGCAAATCAAATAATGACATCCTGGAAGTTTGGTGTCCTTCACACTTCTTTCTTGATGCCATTTTGACACCTGTACCATGTAAATTGGTATTATGACTCAGTGCATCACACCTAACAAACTGTAGTCAGACACTGTGTTTAGTTGCTGTGATTGACACTTTCTTTATAAGCATCTCTACTGCCACAATGCTGTGTTGCACAGAACAGTGTTCCATCTTGACTGAACATTTTACATTCTTTAATATTTGGAGAATGTAATGTTTAGAACTATACATATAATATTTAATGAAAAAAAATGTGCGTATAAGTGGGCTCATGCAGTTCAAGCTTGTTTTGTTCAAGGATCAACTGTGTTTTATAATGACATGCTTTACTCATTATGATGGTAATAGCCCAATATAGCAACCCTTAGTACATTACACACTCAAATAAAAAGACACATTACAAGTAACCAATGAGAACTCACATATACTGTAAATGCCAAACTTGCAACAAAGAACAGCTGATGACATTCAAACAATGCACAAGCCTCAGGCAACCATTTTTCTGATTCACTAGACCCAACTATTTCTGATATTCACCACAGGTTATTGATGTATGTAGACATATACCAGAGAATGTTCAAACACTATCTACTTATATAAGCCATTGATGCCACTGTTTGTATATCTGTAATCTGTCATGGAATGCCTAGAACACACACTACGGGGCATCCGTAGCAATGATTTTCAGCTATTACTGTATTTTGACAAGTATAAGTCGCACTTTTTTTTCTACTTTTTGGGGCTCAAAATCATGGTGCGTCTTATACTCGACAGGTAACCATTTTTACAATGAAATTATCTATAGTAGTGGTCCACTCTAGGGACCAGCCTGTGCAGTGGTCCATTAAGCAGATGGTCCCTCAACCGAATGGCTAGAGTACCTAGATTATCAGAGTAGTGACATGCGAGTCATCGCCGCCATGTTCTGTCGACTGTCATCACATGACCTCTGAGTTTACATTAAGAAATGACGATTATTTCAGTTTAATAAAGGCATCAATTCATCCATCTGTCATATTCTTGAATAAAAAACCGAATAAAATGCATCTTTAGACAATCCCATTAAAAAAGTTTTTTCTAAAATTTTTGTCTCAAAATATGGATGTCTTATACTTGACAGCGACTTATACTTATCAAAATACGGTATTTAAATTAGTATAATTTATTTATAGCGGTATATATAATTATTTATACCGTGGAATGACATCGCCGCTGCTAGAACACCCACTAGAGGGCGTCCCGGGCTACTAGTAATACCAGAAATCTTTGGGAAGATCTTTTGCTGACAGATTAGTTGTATGTCAATATTTACCATTGAATGTTGCCATTCACACACTGATCTTTTACTATAATGTGTATATACATATTTATATTTAATGTAAATTTATTGTTTAATCTTTGTATCATGATATAAGTATGCAATTATAATTAATTAATTTGTGTTTGTAGGATTTGGTCACAGAAAAGAAAACCAGAGAAAGTATTTTGAGTGATATTTCAATGGCTCTCTTTTATAAGCGACAGCTCCATAACAAAATGATAAAATTGGAAAGTGAAGTAAATGCTTTAGAAAAAACTATATTTACACAGCAGAAACCAAATGGTATTTTTCACAAGTCATCAATTCTTTGTAAAGATATATTTGGTGCCAAAGAAAAGTCCTATGCTGATATTGCATTCAATGGACCAAGTATTCGTGAGAGCATTACAGTTCCTAACTTCGAAGAGAGAATTAAAAACATTATAGCAAATGCTCTAAAAGAGGATTCCTCTCCACCAAAGTTAGAGAAGCATTTAAATGGGGAAACGCAAATACCATTCTCTCCTTTACATACACCATATTGTATTAAAAAATCACCACAAGATATAGTGCCAACATCTCTAGGTTGTAGCCCTCCAGCACCAATTTTGAGTCCTAAGGGTATACTTCCTGAGCCATCATCTGTTTCTGAACAACAAAAACAATCTCAAGTGTACTTTAATCATATTTCATCATCTGATGCAACATCACAAATTAAAATAGAAGAACCAAAATTCAATAATTTCTCTTCATTCATAAGATCAAACAAATTATGGGATATGGAAAAAAATGGAATTAACCAGAATCTCAGTTATAATTCCATATCCCATAATATGAATTCTCATATTAATGGATCTTCAAATATCTTAGTGTGCAATAATGACAATATTACTCTAAGAGAAGATATGAAATCTATGGAAAATGCATCAAAAACAGATGTTATTCCAGATCCTCTTCCAATTGCTTATTCTCCTATTAGTCCTAGCAGAACTCCAATATCATCAGAAAATCTAGAAGATACAATGTATTCTGCTGTCTCTCCTCCACCACCTTCACTTGGTAAAATTGACTTATTTTCTCCGTCAGATCGCTATCAGTCATGTATTGATAGTGGTTTGGGTACAACTGATAATAGTACTCACACACAGTATCATTCAAGTAATATCTGCAATAATAGCAGCAGTGAAGACCATATGAAGTTTATGGATATACCAAATTCAGTCAAAAAATCTGCAACAAAGATTTTCTCAAATGATAGAGATCCATCTCCTCCCATTTTATGCAAAGCAGATGGTGGTGGTGATACTTCTAGGGAACAAGAGAAAGAAAGAAAGAATTCTAAAAGCAGGCCACAAAGATCATCATCTGGCAGCTGTTCATCTACTTCACCAATGAGTGGTCATGATAGAACAGATAGCCCAAAACTTGGAAATGGTCTAATTCTTCACCTCGGCAATCTTCTTGCATCCGCAGCAAGAAATGGAAGCTTGAAACGTGAAGATGGAAAAATTAAAAAATTGAAAAGAAAGCATTCATCATCTCATAGTAGAGATGATTATTCACGCTCAAAAAAATCAATTGGACTCTTTGAAGTGGGAAATGGTAGTAGTACAGACAGTTCTCCATCCTTTAAAAAATCATCTGAATCAAATCATATTTTATATTCATATCAGAAGATTTCACCAAATATAGATGGTGTTGTGAAAGAAAATGGCCTCAAAGTAAAAGTAAGAAATCGCAGCAGTTTGAGAAAATCAGAAGGTGTGTATTTTTTTTTTTTTTTTTCCTTCTTCTTCTTCTTCTTTATCTTCTTTATTATATATCTTATATATTTAAAAATCCAGCTGGTTAATATTTTAACTTTTAAATAAATGAACAAATGACTGTTAATTTTAGAAGGCCAACTTTAATAATTATAAGAAATGTTTTTAGTCAAAATTTAACCATTCTCCGAGAATGGTTAAATTTTGACTGAAAACATTTCTTATAATTAATAAAGTTGGCTTCCTAAACTTATCAGTCATTTATTTATTTATTTACAAAGATGGTGCCAAATTTTTAAACTTTTATAATTAACTCAAAACACACCTGAAACCAGTTAGTAGTATATCCAGTGGTGTACTATGGGTGTCAGCCGCCCGGGGCGGAGGAAAATTTTGCTCCCCTTATTTAGGTATTTCAGTTTAAAAGACCAAAATTCAGTTTTGTCACAGAACAAGCAATGAAAAATTCGGTGGTAGTGCAGCGACTTGTTTAAAATAGTTCTATTGGATATTAGTGGTGTATATGAACGCGAATGAATTGTACAAGTAAAAAAAAAAGGTCAACATGTCTCGCAGTATTTCCTTGGATGAGAAAATTACTAGTTCACCTGGATGGCAAGCCGATTCCCGGACCGTCCGGATGATAGCACTATCATAGGCGCGATGCAAGTATAGACTAGGATGTTTCAAATTTTTACAAGATATTATTATTATTTATTGTGAAATTTTGCAGCCCCCTAAAAAAGTACCGCCTGGGGCGGGCCGCCCCCACTACGCTACGCCACTGAGTATATCCACTTTTTTTTTTTTTTTTTTTTTGCAATAACTAACTTTTATTGTATAAGAAGTAATAAAGATAAAAGAAGCTTTAATTATGGACTGTACACATTAAAATAAAATAACAGTAATTTTATACATCATGTCATAATTTGAATCTTGGTAATGATCTTGTTACATATGATTGCCAATGACTATCTGGGTCATGAGGACCATCTCATTATGATCTTGAGATAGCATATAGAAGTACAGTTCTACAGATGATGATGATGATATTTTTTTTTTTTTCTTTTTCAAACTAAGTCTATAAATTGTTTATAGTATTAGGCAGAATTATATATGAATATTGATTTTTCTTTTTTTTTCTATTTGTATTTGAAATAATTTCTTTATCAAAACTAGAAACAATGTTATACCTTGTTAATTAATACTTATTGTCCTTTTTTGATTATTATTTATTGTTATTAGTTTACTATGACTACAGTATATTAATAGGACTTGATCGCATTGATGATATAACTTCTGATTGCAAAAATGAGATATATTATTAATCTCCTGATTCAAAAACATTCAAAAAATGGAGAAGTTAATTAAACTGTTAAATTAGCAATATATGTTTAAGATTAGAATTAAAACAAGATAAAATAAAAAATAAAATGTGATAAGAGTAAATATACACATTAAAATGACAGGTGTGAAAATAAACATCTAAGTTTGAATTTAACAATTTAATAATGTTCATGGCTAGGCCTTTCTGAATTGGATCAAATGTTATATTCTATAGCATGAGGGAAAGATTTTTTGCAAAGAAACTAGTCAGCAATGGCAGATTCAGAAGTAATCAAAGGAAAGCTAACTCAAAAATGAAAAATATTTGAATAATTAATAAATAGTTTTTATTAACATATTCATGATGATTGCATTGTGGACAGTCTGATAAACTATAGTTGACATCATAAACGTTTTGAAGTTCAAACAAATAAATTTTAAGTTTTTTTTGTGTCAGTGGGGATGGCTTAATTTCCTTACTTCCATCACTGATTGATTATCAGTGATGGAAGTAAGGAAATTCAGTCTGTTATTTGGGATAATTCTCAGGTTGTTTGTAGGTCATTGAATTTGAGCCATATCCACAGGTTGAGGGAATTGTTTTCTTTTCTCTTATTTATAATATTTAAAGTAGGGTCAGTTGCTGTGGAGATCACTAACTCTTCAGCAATTCTATCTTGTGTCAAGTATCATGATAATTGATTAAATCACTCCCTATCAAACTGCCACTGAAAAAATTAAGTGACACCAATTTCATCATTAGCACACGCTGCTGACAACAGAAGGTTTCCTAATAATAATAGTCGAAATCTTTCACCTTCTAGGCAAGTGGCCATTAGCTAAAAACTGTCTTTGTTTTAATTTTTAACACACTATATACATTTGGAGAGAGAGTCTAAAAAATCATAAAACAACATACTCAAAAACAAAGTTTGATTTTAAACTTTCTGAGGAATTTTAAAAATAGAATTGTCACATGTTTTATCAGAATAATAGATGTCTGGTTATACATTATTGTTATTTTATAGTTTATTGCTTTTTAAAAACAGTTTTTCAAATGAGAAATGTTAGTGCTTATAGCCTGCCACACTGGTATGTACTGTACACTGTCAATAAATTTTAATTAATACGCATGTCTATATTTAACATTGAGTATTAAGCATGGGATATTTTTTTATTGTCAAATTAAAGTTATAGCAAAATAACAGTTCTGGGATGTTAAAATACTAGAATGCATTGTTCTTGAGAAATAATGATCATTTTTAACAATGGTCTGGGAAATTTCTTGCCAAATTTAAATTAATAATGATTTTTGGTAGGATAATCCCTAGATTCTAAAATAAATCTTGACTGGAAAGCAAAAATTATTAAAAATTTGAGAAATACATTATTTTAAAAGATAAATGAGATTGGAACAAAATGATCAAATTTCAATATATATAAATTTTAGTTTTTTTTATTCTGATTTTATAACAAGTTTAGTTTTTCAGCTTTCTTTTTTAAATTTATTTTAATTTTAAAGTAGATTTACTCCTAAGTAAAAGTAGTAAAACATGTGGCCAGTGGTATTTATATTTAATAATGTATGTTTACCATATTTTTTATTATTTTTTACTTAAATGTATTATTGTGATTTTTGGCAAGAATGCCAGAGGATTCTTTTTGCTCCATATTTGCATTTTATTGCAGTGGTAGAGCAGTAAAAGAAAGGTTGTCTTCATATTTGTTAATTTTTTCTGGTGTGAAATGATGCAAAACAGAACAGAAGCAAAGTATTTTATCTTTGTGAAAATGTAGTACTTTTTATATTTATTAAATTTACTCAGTTTCTTTAAATGTAGTTTTGAACTTCAGCATGTATATCCAAAAAAGTTTGTCACTTTTGTTCAAGCATCTAACAAGTTCAAACACAAATTAAATGTGTTGAATTTTAAATAATTCTTTTGAAATTATTATTTTAGTAATAAATTAATTATATTAGCAACTTCATTTAATAATTGCAATTAAATGTTAATTATTAAATTTAAGCAATTTGTTTGTAATTAATTAATATACACTGCTGGCTAAGAAAAATGCAACACCTGCAATATCTAGAGGCCTACATGGTGTTGCATTTTACTTGGCCATCAGTATAATTAATTGTTTTAATGTTTATACTTTTTAATTACATCAAAATAATTTTTTTTCAGAAAAAGCAATTTTAACATCAAAAGATGATGAACGACATCTTATTCATTCACATGGAAAGCATTGGCAAGCTAGAATAAGTAGTGGATTTGATAAGTTAGTTGCTTTAGCCTCAACTCAAATAGATATTCCACGAAAAGAGAAATCTCATAAAAGTTCTGATGGAAACTATACAAGCAGTAAAAAGAACAAATCAGCAAGAAAGGAAAAATCAAGAGAAAATCATAAGGATCAGTGTACATTTAACATTGGATATTTTAAATCAAAACACAAAGAATTTTTTCTAAATGGATCAAAACATTCAGTTCGTGAATACAGTTCAGTTCGAGAAGGACCAACATCAGTAAAACTAAAGGTAACTAATTTTTCAAGTCATAATTCTTCACCAAAAGTTCATGACAGATGTGGTATTGTGAATTCAATCAAATCAAGCAACAAACTAAATTCATTGATTCAGCCTCGTCGTGGTCCACGAACACCACCAGATACACCACCTCGTACGCCATCAGTGTCTCCAGACAGACCACCGACTCCTCATATGCCTCTATCTCCCTACCATGGTCATAGTCCCATAAGTAGTGTTGATAGTCCATGCAGTAGACAAAGTTTGAGCAGGTCACCAAGTCCAAGAAGTCTGAGTCATAGCAGCCAACATACAAGTCAAGGAAGTTATTCTATCAGTAGTCATGACAGAAATGGAAGGTCTGTTTCACGTTCTCGTTCTCGGTCAAGGTCTGCAAGCCCTTTTAGCAGCAGACCATCAAGCACAGATTCACGCAGTGATAGAACTTCTACAAGTAGTTTTGGTAGATTCAATGCAAGGTCAAAATATGATAATTCTAAATCTAAATATTATTCTAATGACAGAGAGCACACAGTGGAAAGAAAAACAAATAGTAGTTCTTGTTACAACAGAAATAAACATCATGATAAAACACAAACAGATAGAAAAGAATGGGAATGTAGCCGAAATGGGACAGTTCTTACATTTGCTTTGAATGTTCCGGAAAACAGAACTCCTCCTGGACCACCAGACAGAGAATATGAAGGAACAAATCGTTCTGGGAAGTATTCTCAGTTGTCTTCAGAATCTTGTAATGAAGAGAAAAAAGTTCAGCAGTGGAACTATCAAAATGGAATGCCTGGAATTTCCCAAGCTGATATGCGATCATCAAATAATATGTCAAATGGAAAACTACATTCAGATCCAGTAAGGGTTATAGGAATGAATTGTGCATCTTACGGAGTTGTGGGATCTCAAAAAGCACCCACTGCCAATCAGTTACAAATGTCTGGTCCTCCCAGTTCACTGCCATCAGATAATTCTGCAAATTATTGTGGGAGAACACCACAATCCTCCAATTTACAACAGTTAGCATTAATATCACCAACTTCAATGTCATCTTCTAGTGCAGCACCTATGGTTCCAATGTTGACAAACTTTTCCATTCCACCACCAAACTTTTCTGTGCCACCACCATCTTCAACAAGTTTAAACGGCCACCCATCGATACCTCTTCTCACTTCTCATATTAATTCTCGATTAATAAATCTCTCAGTTCCACCACCTAATTTAATTTCACCAGAAGTTCAAAGATCAATATCCAATAATGCTCCAGTTTCTTCTGTGGGAAGGTTTGATTATGGTCTCTCTCAGCCTCATCAGTCACATTCACCATTGATGCAAACTGGATATACAGCAAATCCAAATGGAACTATGTGTAGACCATCTTTACATTTACAACAGAAACGTTTATCAATTATTAATGATTCAAATTCTTTGCTTTCTCATTCTTCTGGGGTTAAAAATGGTATAGTGCCTAATCATATGCCATCATTAAATGGTGTGACATATCCGCATCCTTTTTCAACTCTGCTTCAAGATCATCAAGCTCGAAATCCTCATATACTGTCCAATGGCCACGATCATGTTGGACATCAGACAGAATATGTAACATCTCATTCGCTGCCCACACATCAGTATAGAATGAAGTGTAATTCAGGTAATTAGAACTTTATTATTAAAATTAAATCTAATATTTTAGAAACTATAAAATATTGACATAGGTTTTTCTATAAGAAATTTCTTGTAATGAAGAAACAATAATCTACTTTTTGAGAACTATTTTAGAGAGTTAATAATTTAAATAAGAAGTTTGAGCACTTCAGATAATAAACAAAATCAAATTATAGAATATGAATATAGAATGTTAATAAAAAAAAACAAATGCCCAATTACTGTATTTCAATTCTAAGATGCACTATGATTTTGAAGTTGAATTTTAAGATTTTTTTTTTTTTTTTTTTGAAGAAAAGTTTTAGAAAAGCAATATTAATACCATGAAGTAGGTAATGTTTGGCAGTTCTCTTTCCTTGATTTTCTATATATGCAATAACTTTACTTTTAATGCTACATTATAATGTAGTCTTGAAGACATTCTATATTTTAATGAGCTTAAATTAAACATTCATTACCAAAAATGAAATGATATGATTATTGATTCTTGTTTTGGACTATAAATATAAAATGCACTTTTATTTCAGACAATTAAAAATGGGTAAAAAGAATGTATCTTTGAATCAAGAAAATATGGTAACTGAAAATAAGAATTTTAATAGAAAAACTTATTAATAATGTGAATATTATACTTATAAAGACATTTATGATAACATAATATCTTATGTATTTGCTACTCTCATTTTGTATTGGTTCCTTTTATATTAGCGAATAATCAACACATATTTTATTTTATTACATTTAGAACAATTGGTTAATAGGTGAATAGATGTTTTGTAGCACTTCAGTGTTGATTGAAATATGCCAAAATGGGTACAGATTTTTTCCATAGGAAGTAATGAAAAAACTTTTCCTTATTTACAAGATTCTGATATAAGAAAAGGTTTCGAAAAATTAGGAATGCTTATAAATCAGGGTCTCACCTGTAAGAGTTCTGTCTACATAAATTAAACTGGAAAAGACTGTATTAGAACAAAAGACACTGAAACTTTACTTTTATGATACTTAAGAATTTTTTTCTTATGTATTGTAAAAGTAAATATATATTTTTAAAAATATGAGTACTATACTGAAAAATACTGTATTATAAAAGATTATCATGGATCATATCATAAAGAAGAAAATATATAGGTTTATATTTTAGATGAAAAATGATTACAACTAAATTCATATATTTTTTGTATCATATAAATGCAACCTACAGGTTAACCTCCTGTTATTTTTCATTTAATATTTTAATTTCTTTTTAATTGTGAGGTGGGATGCATTTATGGGTAAGTGCATTGGTTAAAATGTTTAATATATGTCTGTTCATGTGAGATGGATCTAAATTTTTGTAAAAAAGGTCAAAATCTTACAAAAGTTAAATAAAGGCTTTCCGATGTTGTGAATCTCTAGGTGTGATAAGAATCTAACTTGCCAATTTTAATTTCTTGTTTTTAAATTTTTTCCAACAGTAATTCTTTTTCCATGTTATCAAAATTTTTCTCCACGTGTACAGAAATCTGTTATCTGAATGAAGTTGAAATATATCAATAACTTATACTTCAATGACTTATACTCTATTTTCATATTGCTGAGTTGTATATAATAATAATATAATATATAATAAAATGTAATAAACTTTTCCAAAATCAAACTACACTTTCATTTCAGAAAGTGATAGTTTGCTTTTGAAAAGTTTATTATTTGAAAAATGTTTTAAAAATATGAAACTTAAGCATTAAATAAACACTAAAAGCATGGAAAAGTAACATAAAGCTATTAAGTAGAACTTGAGAAGCAATATTACAAAATGAATTATGAAAGATGTAATTGATGATAAAGTAATGCTTCTTTAAAATGGAATACAAAGGCCAGAATTTTCCATGTTGGCAGAGTTATGATTTTAATAATTAACTCTTCTAGAGAGTTTGGAGTAACATTAGTTGTTGTTGTATTATCAAGATTAGACTATGAAAGTAATCGTAGGAAAGAAAAAAAAATGACAGATTCTAAGTCTCATCACCAAGAAGTTGAATCATGATCTAAACTAGCATGTTTCAGAATTAATTATAATTTAGCTGCCTTTATGCTGAAAAATTTCATTTCACTCACAAGGAGATGACCAGACATTGTCCTCTCTAATTTGAGCAAAACTTGGCAAGCACGTAGCCCTAAACCCAAATAGATTCTTGTCTGAATAATACCTACTTCTCAAGCATTTCCAAAAAAAATGGGCCTCTGAAAATTGAATGTGTAGCTTATAAATACAGTAGAGCATCAATTATCCGACTCAATTGGGGACTGGGGATGGTCAGATAACTGAAAAAACGGATAACCGAAAAGTGTGAAAAAATACATTATTAACATAGTATATTAGTATATCCCATGTAATTAGTATATTAGTATATTGCTATTAACCTACTTTGTGTTGAATTTTCATTGATGTTAAGCCTAACAAAAAAATTTTTTAATAATAATTGTCACTATTGTATTGTTAAAAATTAGAAAATTAAGCCTCATTTAAATAGTGGCCTCCCTTTCATGGTCGAGACAGTGTTACAGCTAAACCATGCAAAATTTAACAAAAATAATATTAAAGTAGCCAAGACATAGCCAAATATTGTAGCACCACATCACTAGCGGACATTTGAATTTGCCGACTAGAACGTGGTCGGTTAACCAATGTGACGGTTGATGGGGGGTCAGATAATCGATGCTCTACTGTAAGTCTTTGGAAGATTCACTTCTTATAATTAAGATAGCCAAGTAGATAAGGTGTTAGGCATGGGAACTGCACAATGTAGTTTGCACCTTTGCACTTTTTTTTTCATGCATAACAAAATCATTTTATTATTTTACTGTATCATTAGCATTATTATTATTACTACTGTTATTTTTCACATTTAAAGCTTGTAATAAACTAGATTAAAAACTGTAATGCCATTTCCTGTTTAGCAAAATGAAGTCTCTGTAGATTTAACTCTTGTATGAAGTTAAATAAAATTTTGATTTCTTCATATTTATTTTCAGATATTTTAGCTCTTCATTATATACTATATCAACACAAGCGAATAAACTTCAGGCATTACTGTAGATGGACAAAAAAGACAAGTCTGATATGAAGATTGGGGTAGCATAATCACAGCATTTTTTAATTGTTAATGTTATAGACAATTTCCTTGTGTGCTTGTGTTTGTTACACTTCAAATATAATAATATAACCCTATCTGAAAATTAATATGAAGTAATAATTAATGACATAAAAGAGTTAATTAAATCTACAGATAGTTTGTTTTTGCTAAATAGGAAATAACATCACATGTTTTAAAATCTCTTTTATAAGCTTTAAATGTGTGGAATAACAGTATTAATAATAATTCTAATGATACAGTAAAATAAAATAATTTTGTTACACATTTTTAAAAAAAATCTGAGTATGAAGACTCAAATTTATATCGCACAGCTCTTATACCTAGTGTCTTATCCACTTGGCTATATCAATTATGAGAATTGAACTTTCCAAAGACTTAAGCTAAATACTCAATTTTCAGAGGACCATTTTTTTAGAAATTCTTGAGAAGTGGGACCTATTATTTGGAGAAAAAACTATTTGTGTTTTGGGCTACATGCTTGCAAAGTTTCATTTGAATTGGAGAGGACATCTGGCTGTCTCTGTCAGTTTGTTAGAAAATTTGTTCTCAAAATGTCTTCTATTTTTACATTAGACAGATTTCTGGCTTATAATAGTATTTCATTAATCATTTCATTCCAAGATTTATTCTCTATTTAGGCAGCTTTATTTATATAGAGATTTACTATATAAAGAAAATTTGTAATACTTTATCCATATTTTCTATATTCTTGAAACTCTAGTACAATACTAATCACCAAAGTTCCTTACAATAAATCTGAGAGATCAACAGCATTGATGAGGTCACCATCATCATGAACAATTCCTGTTTAGGTTTTACAGCATGAAGATTTTTTGTATTTTTTTAAAACTTTGATAACATTTCTGCAACCAATCACAAAACAACTTATTTGGTAAGCATAGTATAAATGCATATTAGGTATAGGAAAGCACCATGAAAGCATTTAGTTCAACACAGAGTGCTGTAACAAAATGAATCATTTTTCTTGATCACATTACTGTCAACCCCATGGTTGACTTATTTACATGCAGTGCACTACCACCTTTGTCTCAATTTCCAATTTCTTTAATGCATCAGATTTGAAACAAATTCCAATTTGTAGAATACTACACAGGTTACCAAATTATTGAGTGTTAGATTAAATAACAAACTTCTACTGTTTATGTAATAATTAGAAAAATTAAAGAATATATTTTAAAATTTTTATAAATCATTCTTCAAAACATTTCATTTTAATTAGAAGTATTGCTAAATTAGAATAAAACTTTTTGTTTTTTTCCAGATCTTACAACCTACATTGCTTGATGAAATCAACAATAGTCTGAATTGCTTTTCAAAAAATAAAAAAATTTTTTAATTTTTATTTCTTGGTATGTTGAAAATTCCTACCTCATCCATAACATAACAAGATCTCAGAGAAGCCTTCCCGTTGATGATTTTTTTTACCAACTGGAACCAAAAATGAAAATGTTTAAAATTTGAACTTTCGTCCACATCAAGAGCTCTGCCAGTGGATTGTGAAGTCACTGCCATCATTGCAAAATTTTTCTTCATTTGGTCTGCGTATCCAAGCAAGTACAAAGCCAATAAAAAAATAACAACAAAATTCAAAAGGAAAGAAAAATAAAAAGTGCCTCTGCTCACATGGGCACCTCAGCAGTCCCTGTGTAGATATTTTAAAAAGTTAATCATCTTGTGCTTTTAACTCGTCTGATTTTCATAGTTCTGTTTTAAATTATTTAGAAAGATTTCTATGTTGGTACATACTATCAAGTTCCTTCGTCTTAGCATTCCAAGTAGATTCACTTATTAAAAATAAGAAAAAATGCCAGTACAATAATGTAATAATGAATATTTATGATTTTTCAGGAAAATAACAACATACATTTTGTTTTTTGTATAATTTCTACTATTTATATTCAGCCTCATCAAACAGGAATGCTCAAGAATATATTCAAACTCAGAATAGTTTCCTGTTACACATGCCGTTTTTTAAAACATACATCATTATTTAATTTATAACTCATGTCATTTACAACTTTTTTGTGCCATTTCTTTGTTCCTTTATTCATTATCTTAGTCATTTTTGCATCCAGCGATCTTCATTTAAATGTTATTTTGTATTTATGTATGTTTTGTGTTTATTTAAAACAAATGAAATTAAGTATACAGTTGCATTCCTTAAGTTTGAATTGTCAACAGAATCCCCGTGCAAGTAATCATTCAAGTGCAGCAGCTACTTTATATTCACGAGCACGATCGGATCTGTCCAAGTTACAATTTATTATTATTATATTATATTATATTATAATTATTTTATTATTATTATTATTATTATTATTTTAACTATTTAAAAAGTTGCCATTTAAAGTCAATAATTTATAACTTATGCATATGATGTATAGTCAGTAAGAAATGATAATTTATTAAGAGATAAATTGAATATGCCATGTAATGTACAGGCTGTTTGAAAAGTAGAACATCCAATTATGAAATTGAACACTAATTTGAATCTACAAACTTTTTTTATCACTATTATTTTTAAAATTATATTTCTGCAGGTGATATAACAGACTTCCTTGGCTTTCACTGCCATGTTCAGGGAACTGATTCTGTATAAAATCTGTTGATAAGTGTTAATAAAATAGCATATTTCACTGCCACTGTAATGCAGTTCATCCCAGGATCTATACTGCCAAAATTATTTATTCTTAGTATTGTTTGCACTGTATTAACTTTTGTTAGTCTGAAAAACAGTGATCAAGCTTCTTTATTACAAGATTCTCTCAATAAAGATATATGGAGTCAACAATATAGGCACTTCATAAAAAATTAAATCTGCCATAGATTATGGTTCAGTTATTACATCTTAGTTGTGACTGAAATTTTTGTAAAACAAGTTAATTGAATTATTAATTCAATTTAGTTTGGATTATAGAACAGTACGAAAAATTGGGACAATCCTGTTCAACTATTATCAAGTCTTCTCTTTGTTAATGTGTTAAACTAGTCTAGTTATATATTTGCATACTGAAGAACCGAAAGCTCAATGATTTAACTTGAATGAAAAAAAATCTTTCTATTAAAAAAAATATAAAAGATCCTGGGGAGTTAGAACTGATGAATGCAACAATAGCCTTCCAATTTTAGCTGTGCATCACTAGTGTAATTTTTTAAAATATACTGTTTTTTCATAATCAATGTGATTAATTTTAATGAAAATTTGTATATTTTGATGGTTGATTTTATTGCATATATAGAAAAAAATTAATTGTATTGTTTTACAACAAATTGAATATCCTTGGTTTTTCATGATTGGTATTTTGATATTGAAATAATCCAGATGGTTTTTACTACACTGAGATTAGCATTAAGTAGTATAATATTTGAAGTAGGACTGGTGAAATGTTATTGGCACAAGACAACACAATGGGAGCATTAAATCTCAGAGTTTGATTTTTGAGTGGTCAAAAAAAAATCCTTTTATAAAAGTTATGATTTATAACAGATGTGATAATTTTAAATTCAATTTGCAATTGATACTATCAAAAAAAGAGCATGTTTTGATTGGATGCAATAATTTGTTTAAAATTACTTTTTCATATGATACTATGCAGTTATTTGATTAATTATTTATAGTTTTAAGAAGATTTTAAATAAACTTTTTTAATTGTACAAATTATGGCAATATACATTTTTGAAGAGATCTCAAAATGTACTTATATAAAAAATTAATTTTAGACAAATTTTAGAATAATTCCATTTGTTCACTCCCACGCTTGTGCATGTATTCAACCTGTAATTTGCTTGTATTGTGATTCAATTAATGAACTTTTAGCACTTTAAATAAACTAAACAAATGTGTGATAATGATATAAGAGTTTTTTAGTAATGTTTGGTTTGTTGGCTTTAATTCGTTAATTTAACAAGCAGTGCTATGAGGACTCAAAGTTAATGTTGACACCTTTTAAAGAACATTAAATTCAAAAACTTACACATCCACTTGGTAAACAATCTCATCAACAGATTAGAATTGTTAGCAATAGATTACGTTTTATGAGGGTCCAAAATAAAAGATTCATAACATCTTGTAAAAAATATATATATACAAATAAAACAAACGTGCTCTTAAATCCTAGAAGAAAGAAAACAAAATACAAAAAAAATAAATCAGAATGAATTCTTGGCAATCGAATAATTATTATTTTGGACAAACTATTTATACATCATGATGTTTTATAAATTTTGTTTTTCCAGAATGTTTATTTTGAGAATAAAAACAAAAAAAGAAAAATATACAAACTGCCATCTTTGCTGTTATAAATCATACTATATGTATTTATATACTGATAATAAATAACCATATGGAATTATATTCAAATAATTGAAAATGATAATTAATTAAATAATGATAGTAACCACGAGGTGCATGTGATTATATTTTATGGTAAAAAAAATATACAAATGTATGTAAATAAAAAATTTACATAAGTTTGCACAATTGTAAAAAAGAAAACATAATAATTATTTGTAATATTTTCCATATGGATATTTAAGTAGCTGTTGTCTGCAATATTCTTATGATGCAAGATTTTTCTAATCAAACTTGTCCTGCACTGTAAAAACTGTAGAGAAAAATTTCATTCGAGTAATGAGTTCTAGTAAAATACCATCTGCGACAGTGTCGAGAGATGTAATTGTATATTCATTAAAGATCAAACAAGTGTAAAAATAAAAATTTTTTTTGAGTTCATGGAAACCAAGGAAAGTTGAGAAAGGTGTGAAGATTAGGGTGGTAATTCACCACAAAAAAAAAAATAATAATAAATAAAAATTGAAGTTTCCAAAATGAAATTGATTGGGAAACTCATACAGTTGTTGTTATAAAAAAGCATGTTTGAGGTATTTTTTATTCCTCAGGATGTGTGTAAATTTATTGTATTGATTGTTAATGGGTGAGATAAAGAATGGGTGCTCTGAGCAAAAAAGATCCCTTAAGCAGATAGTTGACAAATTTAAAAATGTGTTATCATGTAAAGTGTAAGTTACCGGATTATTGTATAAAGGTAATTTTTGTTGTAAGTGTTTATTCTTGTGGTTTACTTAGTTTATTGGACGTGTCGTGCACGGTGTTCGCGAATCTAGTAAATGGTTGTTGTTTGTTGCTTTTAGTCAAGATTCCAAGAGATTAATGGTGTTAGTGTATTTTTAACTTTTTGGGAATTTTGCTAAGCCATACTAAACAGCAACAAAAAAATTGAGATACTTTATTAAAGATAGAGAAGAATGTAAAGTGAAGAATCTTAAAAACAGCCCAACCAAGGAATTTTTGAGTTTTTGTTCGGTTGTTTTCATAACAATAGGCCTTAGGGCTTAAAATTTTTAAATGCAATAGTCTCATATGAATCAATTATTAATAATTTTTTGACATTGTGCAATTCGTGCCATAAAACAGATTAGAGTGGGCATTGATTATTGGACTTAAGATGTCAGCTGTCTGATTAGGGATCTGATTCATTCAAAAACAAAAACTATAGGAAAAATACCTTGTAGAAAATTGTAATTAGTGTAACATGATGATGATAAAGATGATGATTAGTTGATTAGCTGCAGAGTGTTGAGGTGATACATCATCTGTATGTAAATTCTGCTCAGCACCATAATGATGTGCATTTATTTCTTTGCAAATATTTCTAGGATGTATACATCCCATGTGTTCAAATTTTTTTTGCTCCAGTATTTGTAACCTACACTCTCAGTGTAGGTATTTTCACCTTACTGTGCATTGTACATTCAAACATTGTAATAAATATTTTTAACATGATAGTTTTATCATCCTTTTTTTATATTTGTACATTATTTATCTGTAATTCTCTCATTAAATATATGCTTGTTACACTGATATGCTGTTGTCTATTTGCTATCGAGAACGTTTGCCGCGGACAGTTCTCAGTAGTGATGCGTGGTTATTAAATTTAAAATTATTACAATTAAAATTTTATAAATGGATAAAAAGTTTCTCTGCTATTAAAAATTGAAATATTTTTAAAATCCAAAGAACATCTTTTAAGCTGAACACAAAACAGTTGTTTATTATAACCACATAGAAATTTAATAACATTTGAATTTATTAAAGCAAAGCATAGTCAAAAAGTAAAATATTATATTAGAAAAATTTAATTATTTCATAATTATAAAATTAAAATTTTGGAATGAAAACAGCAGAAAAAGATAAAGAGAATTGGACAAGCAACTCAAAAAATAATCAAAATCTGATTTACAGCTTAGAATACTTTGCACAATTATTTTTATTTGCATTTAGGATATGAAGATAAACTATTATCTTCTAAATTGTTTTATTTAAACTTGAACATTTAGAAAAGAACTTTTTCCAATTTTAATATTTCAAATAAATCTACAGACAAAAATGTTAATTTTTTTTATAATTTAAATTCATTGCCAAATTAATTGAAAAATGAAATCATTAAAGTTAACAGACACCAATACATTTTCTTTTAAAATTAGAACTATTGTTAGCTACAGTTACCACATTGTAAAATCCCAAATTGACAACACCCCAACCGGTTAGTGTGCAGAGTCTATTTATTTACAACAAGCAAAAGTCCGAAGACATGATTTCCATCCCCAGATACAAACCCAGCAAAATAAAAAGCAGGAAGTCCTGAAAAGAAAATGTATAACTATCAGGAATTAAAATAATACACTATGACCAATCTTTACTTTTGGAGTCTTTTGTTTTAATAAATTAAATTAAGCTGATTCCTTTAAAAATGTAGCAGAAATGTACCTAATAGCAGAAAATGCAAAAAAAAGATTTACAGAAAGCAAAGGTTATTCACTCTTTAATTACAGTTGAGCCCATGTATATTTGTTACTAGATTTAACAATGCATATCAAGTAGTCAAAATACTTTTTGAATATAAAGTGTCTGAAATTAAATTTGACAAAAGAAATTCCTTTTATGGAACTGAACTACTTGCTTCTTTCTTTGGTTCACTGTGCTTGTATGAGTGAAAAGTCTCAATCCAAGTATTAAGAGCTGATACTCCAAAAGAAGTGGGCTATCTTCACAATCTCATTGCATTACTCTTCACTTCTACAGTATTAAATAAGCAGTTGCACCACCTCTTGTGATTTGAAATTAAGTTTCCATCATATGTTGTGACAGATTTCTTCAAATTGGAGAACTGATTAAAACACTTAGTATCATTAATTTGTACACCTTGTTCCATTAAAAGTTTTGTACTTAGCTCCAAGATGTAAAAATAACTTCAAGATCTAGCTACTTAACCAGAAAATTATTGAAAAGGCTGTATCCACATATTTAAATAATTAAACATCCTTCAATTTATATTGCATTGAAAATGTTACATCTTAGATTTATAGCCATCATTTTTGATTTGCTTTAATATGCCCATCACTTTGATGAACATGTTCCTTTCTTTCTTTGAAGCACATCTTGTAAGGATGAAAAGTTTTTGATTACATCAGTAGGAGTGTTATTCTAATTTGCTAACGTGTATATAAAATACACAATACACAAGGACCTAGCATGCCATAAGTAGATTTTACATAATAAATCCCAGAAAAACTTTTTCCATATAGCTGATAGTTTGTTTTGTGAAAGATTGAAAACATTTGCAGAAGTCTTTAAATAGCTGGAAATAAAGATAGCCACTGTGTTTTGCAGCTATTCAGAGTTGCTAGTATTCTACATCAAAACTCTTCCGGAAGTAAATTGAAAAGTAATTATAAGTAATCACCAACCAAGTCTGTAAATCAATGGAAAGATGATTTGTGTCTTGCTGAATGCAATTATTTGAAAACACTTTAGGAGTTGCATGGTTTATATTATATCCAGTAGTTGTGCATGGATCTATTAGCCTATTTTTAATCAGAAATTGGGTAAATATGGATAACACATCAAAAACAAATTTTTTTTACCTGGTATTCCATCATTTGTTTACTTTCTAACCATGTAAAACAGCCTATAATACTATTATTTAAATTATTTTTAAGTAATATTAAAAAATGAACGTATGGAATTTTAAATAGCCATTTGAAGTGGAAAATTACAACTACTGATTTCAATTTCTTACTAAAATAAGTTCTAAATGTCCTATTTGAAAGTCATGGAAGGAAAAGTTTATTACTACTGTATAATAGGAGACAAAGAATAGGATACAAACCATGTAGCCTCAAAAAGCAACCAAAAGGGGAGATTTCTGATATGTAAAACAGGATTCACCTGTAATTTTTTTTTTTTTTTTTTGTCATCCTTCTAGAAAGGTTTTCTTTTCTTATAAATAATCACTTTTGTTAAATCTTATTTCTTAACTTTTATAATTTAACTTTTTAGCAAACAACCCCCTTCAATTAAAAACAAAATCTTATTTTACTTTGAAAATTAATATCGCCCGAAATGCAAAAAGGGATATCAAAATCTGCCGCTGAATCTATACTTGGAATTTTTTCTGTAAAAGTAAGTAAATGTTTTGAAGGATCATTGTTAGCAGTGCCGTAACTAGGCAGGTGCAACAGGTGCACCCGCACAAGGCCCACTTGGAAGGGGGCCTAAAAAGCATGAATTTTTTTTATTTTCCCAAACCTAATTTGCAATGAAAACGTCGGCCGCAACCTCTCTAATAAGTCATGATTTTTACAGTTAGCACAATTTTTCATTGTTCTTCTGTACTTAACGAATAAAAGATGTAAATTTGCATATACAGTAAACATATAGTTCTACTACTCGGTCCGTTTTATTTGGTTATTTGGTCCTGTCGACATATTACTTGTAACCCAAATAAAACGGACCGAGAAGTTAAAGAAAAGAAGTTTAAAACACGTTTTTCTTATTAACTATAAAATTTACTTCCTATTGTTAATTTTAAACATTTTTCTAATGCACAAAGAAATGAATAATATCACTTGTCCTCTGACATAGACCCTTCCGACTGTGGCTAACTCAAGTCTACTCTTAAGCTGCTCAGACTGAAGTATCTCTTAAGAAAAATTAAAAATGTAATATTAGTATAAATTAATTCATAATCCACTGCATTTTAGTAGTTTATTAGAATCATACTTTCAGATATTAAATTTAGACGAATTTCAGATATTGTTGTATTATCTTTGAGGCACGCGGTAATGATATATACTGTACTTTGTAGAATGAATTTAAGACAAGCGAAAACATATGAATATTTAAAATAATTATTTAAATAATAAATATATCGTGTAACATATTTTACACAATCTAGATTTTTCAGATTTTCCATTATTAGTTAATCTTGTCCATTGAATTTTATACAATTATGAAACAAAATAAAAGTTATGCAACAAGCGTCTCTCACAGTGGCGTGCCGTCATTGGAAGCGGTGGATGCGCCGCTTCCAATGATTATTTTCTAAAAAATAAATACATATTAATTTTAATTATACGAAAATAATCGCGCAATATTTTATTATAACCGCATTACGTATCTTATTACAAATTTCTATACTACGCGTGAAAAAAAAAATAAGATCGCTATCGTATATTCGAATATTGGTGGCGGAGTGGAAGCGTCGTATCGTTGGCATCCAAAAAGCCAAATTCACGCGTGCGCTTTACAGAGCATCGACCTCACCGGTTTAGCCGGCAGAAGCCTAGGACCTCGGGTGGATGCTACGCGTATACCGCATCCAATTCTATCCGGGACCGGCTCCGGGCCGTTAGCCGCCCGCCCGCTAGATATTTGGCCGCTCTCGCCCGATTACGCGAATCGAGAGTAGATTTATAACTTAACATATTTAGATTTTTACAACTATGGTGAGAAACGTTTAAAATCTACAACAGCCCTGTCGCGTTTTTTGAGATATACTAGTGATGCGACAAAAGAGGTATTTGACATTGACTGGTATCGGCACCCTGGAGATTTGGCAGTCCGCGTGTCTGCAACCGTCTCTGATTCCATCCATTAGCCACTCGTAGGGAGCTATTTGACTAAGTGGATTGTTTTAAGATTTAAAAAGTAAAGAATATTTTATACTTTTATGTACGTTTCTTTATAAAGCTATATTTAATTATAATTTTCTTTAAAAGTATATTCGTACAATTGAAGAATATTTTGTACCGGGTATGTACCGGTACGTCCACCACACATTTTATTTCACCGAGTAAGTTTTTATTATTTTATTTTTACTTGTAACCCTTATATCGTGGCTAGCGATTCGGAATGTAATTGTGATATTAAAAATGCATTTAGAGAAGTCTACGGGTTTTACTGGCTTATCAAATAAAAGATACGAATGGACCCTAGACCATCACTGACGCGCGATTGACCAATTGCCCTGGATGTCGGCTTCTTACAGAAACACGGCTTCCCTATCATCAAATGTCACGGCACGCTACTGGTTTCTCATACCCATCCACCTTCATAGCGGGCCTAGCCAAATGTGAAAGCCTTTTTATAAAGTCCTTATAATGGATTTGCTAGAAAGGCCTTCACATCCCTGCAAGAGGGAAAGAGTTTAAAAAAAAAACTTATGAAGACAACTTTAAAATGTCATGTCGTCTTGTCTAAAATTCAAATAAATTTATGTACAGTACAGTATTTCGTAATATTTATTCCTTACTTTTAAAATATTTTGTGAATTTAAATAAAATTTATTTATAAAAAATATATAAATATCAATATAAAGAAATGTAGCCAATAAGTCCGCGAATGACAATATTAAAAATTTTAATTTAGGCGCTTTTTTGGCGGTTTTTATCAATTCTTTGTACGATTATTGTAGTAAAATGTTGCCAATCCGGTATTTTGTAATCCACATGGTGAAGCGGAGGGAATATTGAATATCGAATTTTGTGAGTGTTTTTTTAAAATTTTTTAATGGACACGCGAAAAATGAAGAAGTCAAATAGAAAAGTAGTTAAAGCCAAGATAAAAAACAGGAAATCTTTAAGTACATTACAACCTTCTGCTGACAATCAATCAGTTTTAGTCGGTTCTAATGGAATCGTAGATTTGAATTTGAAAAAGTCAGGATTGAAAGAAAATATTTCATTGAATACTAAAGAGAACGAATTATCCTCTCTTAAAGAAGTGTCGAAGAAAGATGCTGTAGAGAATGCAAAGGAACTTATGTGTAATCCGGAAATCTCGGCTGAATATTGGAAGATTCTTGCAGAAGAGAGAAGAGTGGCCCTAGAAGCTGCTTTGAAAGAAAATGAAGATTTACGTGATCAGATCGAGGTATTAGAAACTGAGAATTCTCAATTGAGAGAAATCTGTGAAGAAGCTAAAAGAATGGCCGAGATAATAAATGATTTAAATGAATAATTTAGGTGAACATTTGTAATTTTAAAGTAAAAAAAAAAAATTAAATTGCATACTAAATTGAACTAAAATATATTTGTAGATATAAAGTCAAATACAATTGAATATATTTATTTAACCGATTTTTATTTTTTTAAAGTAGCATTTCAGATGTAACACAAAGACAATGGAAAAATATTGTAAATATCAAACTTTAAAATTGTCTTCTGTAAGTTTTTTATATATATAAAAGCCTTTTATGAAGTGTACCGACATATTCTTTATTGATATAAAAACTATAAGCTTTACATACAATTAAATCATAGTTTTATTTTCATTATGAAAGTCATTAATAATTTCTAATATTAAAGTGATAATACTTGAAATAGTTATCTAACAAAGTATTTATTAAAATTGGGGATAAATTAACTAAATTTTATAATGGATCATTCTGTTTTAAAGAGCCAATTTTAAAATTTCCAGTATCTCATTTTATGTTTCATAATTTAAGTGTGTTTATATAATTGATATTTTTTGTTTAAATATTTTTGTTTTAAATAAATATTTTTTGTTTAAATATTAAAAAATAAAAAAATATCCATTTTTTTATTTTTTAATTTCTTTAACCGAGATTTACAATGTCTAAGTTTTATTATTTTAAAATGTAAGGATATATTTGTGTTTCTTAAGTCAATATTTTAAATTTATCTTTAAACTAAAGCTCTATTCCTTGTTAATGATTTTTGTAAAAGTTTTTTTTAATTTTTATATATTTTTGTCAAAACAAAGAATATAACTATAATTTTATTAATTAGAGTAGATTTTTCTCAAATACAGTGGGTGATCCGTTAAGAAACATAATCCATTCCAAGACTTTGTTCGTTAACCGATTATCAATTTAACATAGATTTTTATGGGAATTTGATTAATTCATTCTGGAGACCTCAAAAAATAAAAAAGATATACTTTCTTACTATGTTTATTTATATGTAATAATAAAAATACATGTATTTTTATTATTACATATTATGTACAGCCTTGCATTTTTATTAGTCGTGCTTTTTGTTTGTGGGGGTTAAAGAATCTGTCTAATGTCGATTGCTTTTCTTTAAGATTTTTCAGAAGTTATTAATAGCATTGTAATTGTAGAGAACCCCAAGCCTATTAACCTCAACCTGGTTTGGATGCCATTCTAAGACCGTTGTTCTGACATCCTCCCATTTGTTCAAAAGATGTTTAATAGCAGATATTGGCATTAATTCTTTTTTTCAGAATAAAACATATTTTGCCAAGTTTCTTGGTGTTCTTCATTCAAGAGTTCTTGGTGTTCTGTCATCAGATCAGTTTCAGGTTCCATTATGAGCTCTTCAATTTATTTCTCAGATGTGATTTTTGTTACTCCTTTAGATGCTTGAGTGTTCTTGATTGTACAGTATCTTTCTTAGATAAGATTGAACTGCGACTTACTGTAGACCTGTTCTAGCCATACTACCCAGTAACATCAGACATCTGCCCACTCTCTACCTTTGCTATTATACTCAAACCTTTCAAAAATAAAAACTGATGCAAAACTTAACAAGTGCCCATAAGACAGTCTTGCAAATACTATAAAAAAATTGTTCCTGTCAGAAAAATAAAAGGCTGGAATTACAAGGGAGAGTTTCGAAGTTTGGAGGAATACTATCCGATGTCGATGTCTCCTGCACTTTGAAAAGTTTTTAATTGTTGCCTGAAGACAAGGGAATATCAATCAGTATTCATTATTTTATGTCACTTCTTGTGTTTGTTCTGTGAGGTGTTAATTGTCCAAACATAAAAATCTTTTGCAAAAGTGTTTGTTATCCAATTTGTTCGTTAACCGATCACCCCATTGTAATATATTTCAGTGTTCCGCAACCGGTGTGCCACGGCACACTGATGTGCCGTCACATGGTGAAAGGTGTGACGTGAACTTTTACATATTCTGTTAATTTCAAATTTTATTTATATATTTTTATCACAGTTGTTGTGTTTCTTATGTATTTATGTTGTATGTTCTTATGTATGTATGTTGTTGTGTTTCTTATGTTATCTTTTGTGTGTATATTTCATTCTCTGCCGCAACACTGATGAAATAAGATGATGTTTGTTTATTCTTTATTACAAGCCACCCATTTTTATGTATTGTAATAAATTATATGAAAAGAAAATTTGCTCACAAATGTTGGTATCTGTTTAATAACAACAATAATAGATTAGTGGCATTATGTAAATCTATTAATAGTATCATATCATACGTTTATGAGGGGAATAACATTTTGGTGTGCCGTGTTGAGTCATGGGTGTGCCGCAAGTAGAAAAAGGTTGCGGAACACTGATATATTTGACAGAAGTCAAACAGATGAAAATATTTAAAAATTAATAATAATTCCTGAAAATTTATATATAAGAGAAAATTTTTAAGATTTCTAAGTTTTGCATTAATAAGTGTGTAATTGAAATATTTGGTTTTATATTTGTATAAAATCAAAACGAATTATACATAAAAAGTTATTTTTGTCAAATGTTAGATATTTATGTATGCATGTAGGGTATTTACATGCATACATAAATATCTAACATTTGACTAAATAAATAACTCATAAATAGCAAAATTAATTAAGGTAAATGCAACAGTTAGTTTTATAATTTCTAAGTTTTACATTTTGCTAATTTGAATAACTTCTCTTTTTACTTATAGCAAACTGATTCTTTACCATTTGTTCAATACAAAAATGGGCTTGTTAAAAATCAAATTGTAAATTATTAACATGTTATTTCTGCTTGTATATCTAGCACACTGAAGAATTTGCTTGAGAAGTTTATCTATTTTAGAGAATCAACAACACAAATTGAAACTAAATTAATTATATAACTAATCATATCATTAGTGCTAAGTTTTTGGATTAAATATGTGTGTGGAAAATTGTTAAATTTGTAAATCTTTAACCAATTATTATTTGATTAATTTCTTCTATAGATTAAAGACAAAGCTGACTTTATTAATTAGACCATTTAATAAAACATTTCTTAGCAACAGGTGTTTGATGGTTCATTAAGTGCTGACTTTATTATTGTAATGATAAATACATTACAAGATTCATTAATTTATTAAGATTTCAGAAATTACTCATTATTTTTGAAAATCAGTGTCAATAGACTAGTATTGTGTTTTAATTAACAAAACTATAAAAGACTGATAAAAACAACAAAGTTACAAACAAACCAATAGATAATTATTGTTATAAGTTCAAATAATTCATTTAGATATGAAAAATATATAAATGCATATTTATAATTTTATATGATAAAAAAACTTAAAAATTCCATATAAACCTTATATTAAAAAATTTATTTTTATTTTAATATAATTTAATTATGTAGACTCTCAGATTATAACTTAGAAATAATCTGTCATGATATATTTAATTTTTTATAAGATACAAGTACTAAAAACTGTGTGTGTTTATACATAAATGCACATTAACCATTTTGATTAAATATGTAAATACCCAGCAAACAGAAAAATATGGTAAATATATGAGAAATTAAGTCAGATTGGACTAATACTTTATTTTTACAAAGTTAACTAACACTGTCAATTTTTACATCAGACTTACATATCAAATGTTAGACTGTTACAGTTTTATTGTTCTTTGCAAGAATGCAATCAAGACTCCTTTAAACAAGCAATGTACAGTACAAATAATTGCTTTGTTCCAAAAACTATTTGTTCAAATAATGGCTTCTGAACAAAGTATTATATGTATACTATGTGTTTATTAAAATTAGAACTACCCTCTTTGTCTGTAATACAAACTGTTTTCACAGCATGAAAGGATATTGACTTGCAGAACAAAGCCATTATTTGTACACTAGTTATTTTACCATTCTAGCTATGTTGTACTGTTTTTACAAAAGTAGTTTATTTTTAAAATAATTCAAAAAGAAAAGAAAAAGCAATATAACAGTCACAAATTACAATAGTTACTGAAAAAGTAGACAATAATTATTTTCAGTAGGGGAAAAAAGTAATTTTTATCCAAGAAGTATTAACCATATATCATGATTATATATATCCAGTTTGGGATAGTGTTTCCATTATGATTAACCATCCAAGAAGTATTATATAAACTATATTAAAATAATTTACAGATGTATTTTGATATTTGAATATTTTTCTTTTACTTGATTACATAACTATTGTAAATTAACTTTTTTTTATAATAGTTACATGTTTTTATCTGATTATTTTATTATGTATTTACAGTCGACCCCCGTATAAGATCATTGATTATTCCGTTTTATATGAATTCCATGTTGTACGAGTCACTTAGATTTTACAAATACGTGTACCGGGCTGTGAACGGCTCACGTATTTGTAAAATTTAAGTGACTTGTACAACATGGAATTCATATAAAACGGAATAATCAATGATCTTATACGGGGGTCGACTGTA